CTCAGCCCCTCTTCCCCTCTTCCTTCTTCTCCTCAGGCCAGAGCCACTTCTCCCTCAGACTCAGCCCCTCTTCCCCTCTCCTTCTTCTCCTCAGGCCCAGAGCCACTTCTTCCCCCGACTCAGCCCCTCTTCCCTCTCCTTCTTCTCCTCAGGCCAGAGCCACTTCTCCCTCAGACTCAGCCCCTCTTCCTCTCTCCTTCTTCTCCTCAGGCCAGAGCCACTTCTCCCCCAGACTCAGCCCCTCTTCCTCTCTCCTTCTTCTCCTCAGGCCAGAGCCACTTCTCCCTCAGACTCAGCCCCTCTTCCCTCTCCTTCTTCTCCTCAGGCCAGAGCCACTTCTCCCTCAGACTCAGCCCCTCTTCCCCTCTCCTTCTTCTCCTCAGGCCAGAGCCACTTCTCCCTCAGACTCAGCCCCTCTTCCCCTCTCCTTCTTCTCCTCAGGCCAGAGCCACTTCTCCCTCAGACTCAGCCCCTCTTCCCCTCTCCTTCTTCTCCTCAGGCCAGAGCCACTTCTCCCTCAGACTCAGCCCCTCTTCCCCTCTCCTTCTTCTCCTCAGGCCAGAGCCACTTCTCCCTCAGACTCAGCCCCTCTTCCTCTCTCCTTCTTCTCCTCAGGCCAGAGCCACTTCTCCCTCAGACTCAGCCCCTCTTCCCCTCTCCTTCTTCTCCTCAGGCCAGAGCCACTTCTCCCTCAGACTCAGCCCCTCTTCCCCTCTCCTTCTTCTCCTCAGGCCAGAGCCACTTCTCCCTCAGACTCAGCCCCTCTTCCCTCTCCTTCTTCTCCTCAGGCCAGAGCCACTTCTCCCTCAGACTCAGCCCCTCTTCCTCTCTCCTTCTTCTCCTCAGGCCAGAGCCACTTCTCCCTCAGACTCAGCCCCTCTTCCCCTCTCCTTCTTCTCCTCAGGCCAGAGCCACTTCTCCCTCAGACTCAGCCCCTCTTCCCCTCTCCTTCTTCTCCTCAGGCCAGAGCCACTTCTCCCTCAGACTCAGCCCCTCTTCCCCTCTCCTTCTTCTCCTCAGGCCAGAGCCACTTCTCCCTCAGACTCAGCCCCTCTTCCTCTCTCCTTCTTCTCCTCAGGCCAGAGCCACTTCTCCCTCAGACTCAGCCCCTCTTCCCCTCTCCTTCTTCTCCTCAGGCCAGAGCCACTTCTCCCTCAGACTCAGCCCCTCTTCCCCTCTCCTTCTTCTCCTCAGGCCAGAGCCACTTCTCCCTCAGACTCAGCCCTCTTCCTCTCCTTCTTCCTCAGGCCAGAGCCCTTCTCCCTCAGACTCAGCCCCTCTTCCTCTCCTTCTTCTCCTCAGGCCAGAGCCACTTCTCCCTCAGACTCAGCCCCTCTTCCCCTCTCCTTCTTCTCCTCAGGCCAGAGCCACTTCTCCCTCAGACTCAGCCCCTCTTCCCTCTCCTTCTTCTCCTCAGGCCAGAGCCACTTCTCCCTCAGACTCAGCCCCTCTTCCCCTCTCCTTCTTCTCCTCAGGCCAGAGCCACTTCTCCCTCAGACTCAGCCCCTCTTCCTCTCTCCTTCTTCTCCTCAGGCCAGAGCCACTTCTCCCCTCAGACTCAGCCCCTCTTCCTCTCTCCTTCTTCTCCTCAGGCCAGAGCCACTTCTCCCTCAGACTCAGCCCCTCTTCCCCTCTCCTTCTTCTCCTCAGGCCAGAGCCACTTCTCCCTCAGACTCAGCCCCTCTTCCCCTCTCCTTCTTCTCCTCAGGCCAGAGCCACTTCTCCCTCAGACTCAGCCCCTCTTCCTCTCTCCTTCTTCTCCTCAGGCCAGAGCCACTTCTCCCTCAGACTCAGCCCCTCTTCCCTCTCCTTCTTCTCCTCAGGCCAGAGCCACTTCTCCCTCAGACTCAGCCCCTCTTCCCCTCTCCTTCTTCTCCTCAGGCCAGAGCCACTTCTCCCTCAGACTCAGCCCCTCTTCCCTCTCCTTCTTCTCCTCAGGCCAGAGCCACTTCTCCCTCAGACTCAGCCCCTCTTCCTCTCTCCTTCTTCTCCTCAGGCCAGAGCCACTTCTCCCTCAGACTCAGCCCCTCTTCCTCTCTCCTTCTTCTCCTCAGGCCAGAGCCACTTCTCCCTCAGACTCAGCCCCTCTTCCTCTCTCCTTCTTCTCCTCAGGCCAGAGCCACTTCTCCCTCAGACTCAGCCCCTCTTCCCCTCTCCTTCTTCTCCTCAGGCCAGAGCCACTTCTCCCTCAGACTCAGCCCCTCTTCCTCTCTCCTTCTTCTCCTCAGGCCAGAGCCACTTCTCCCTCAGACTCAGCCCCTCTTCCCCTCTCCTTCTTCTCCTCAGGCCAGAGCCACTTCTCCCTCAGACTCAGCCCCTCTTCCTCTCTCCTTCTTCTCCTCAGGCCAGAGCCACTTCTCCCTCAGACTCAGCCCCTCTTCCTCTCTCCTTCTTCTCCTCAGGCCAGAGCCACTTCTCCCTCAGACTCAGCCCCTCTTCCCCTCTCCTTCTTCTCCTCAGGCCAGAGCCACTTCTCCCTCAGACTCAGCCCCTCTTCCCCTCTCCTTCTTCTCCTCAGGCCAGAGCCACTTCTCCCTCAGACTCAGCCCCTCTTCCCCTCTCCTTCTTCTCCTCAGGCCAGAGCCACTTCTCCCTCAGACTCAGCCCCTCTTCCCCTCTCCTTCTTCTCCTCAGGCCAGAGCCACTTCTCCCTCAGACTCAGCCCCTCTTCCCCTCTCCTTCTTCTCCTCAGGCCAGAGCCACTTCTCCCTCAGACTCAGCCCCTCTTCCTCTCTCCTTCTTCTCCTCAGGCCAGAGCCACTTCTCCCTCAGACTCAGCCCCTCTTCCCCTCTCCTTCTTCTCCTCAGGCCAGAGCCACTTCTCCCTCAGACTCAGCCCCTCTTCCCCTCTCCTTCTTCTCCTCAGGCCAGAGCCACTTCTCCCTCAGACTCAGCCCCTCTTCCTCTCTCCTTCTTCTCCTCAGGCCAGAGCCACTTCTCCCCAGACTCAGCCCCTCTTCCCCTCTCCTTCTTCTCCTCAGGCCAGAGCCACTTCTCCCTCAGACTCAGCCCCTCTTCCTCTCTCCTTCTTCTCCTCAGGCCAGAGCCACTTCTCCCTCAGACTCAGCCCCTCTTCCCCTCTCCTTCTTCTCCTCAGGCCAGAGCCACTTCTCCCTCAGACTCAGCCCCTCTTCCCCTCTCCTTCTTCTCCTCAGGCCAGAGCCACTTCTCCCTCAGACTCAGCCCCTCTTCCCCTCTCCTTCTTCTCCTCAGGCCAGAGCCACTTCTCCCTCAGACTCAGCCCCTCTTCCTCTCTCCTTCTTCTCCTCAGGCCAGAGCCACTTCTCCCTCAGACTCAGCCCCTCTTCCTCTCTCCTTCTTCTCCTCAGGCCAGAGCCACTTCTCCCTCAGACTCAGCCCCTCTTCCCCTCTCCTTCTTCTCCTCAGGCCAGAGCCACTTCTCCCTCAGACTCAGCCCCTCTTCCCCTCTCCTTCTTCTCCTCAGGCCAGAGCCACTTCTCCCTCAGACTCAGCCCTCTCCTCCTCTCCTTCTTCTCTCAGGCCAGAGCCACTTCTCCCTCAGACTCAGCCCCTCTTCCTCTCTCCTTCTTCTCCTCAGGGCCAGAGGCCACTTCTCCCTCAGACTCAGCCCCTCTTCCTCTCCTTCTTCTCCCCAGGCCAGAGCCACTTCTCCCTCAGACTTCAGCCCCTCTTCCCCTCTCCTTCTTCTCCTCAGCCAGAGCCACTTCTCCCTCAGACTCAGCCCCTCTCCTCTCTCCTTCTTCTCCTCAGGCCAGAGGCCACTTCTCCCTCAGACTCAGCCCCTCTTTCGCTCCTCTCCCTTCTTCCCTCCTCAGGCCAGAGCCGCTGTCTCCCCCAGACTCCAGCCCCTCTTCCCCTCTCCTTCTCCTCAGCCAGAGCCACTTCTCCCTCAGGACTCAGCCCCGTCTTCCTCCCATCTCAGCTCCAGCCTCAAAACTCCCTCAGAAAAGGCGCCTCTCATCTTCCCGCCAAAAGGGCTGGCTCCGCCCCCGCCTCTCCGGCTGGCCAATCAGAGAGAGAGGCTCCAGCCCCCTGGTGGCGTTTCTGAGGGACTGCAGCTCCAGACTCGGCCCGGGCTCAGCTGTCCATCACAGCAGGGCTTTCTGCTCAGTCTCTAAAATCCTCTGGACATGGAAGTGGTTGCATGTCTTCCCTATAGCCTCTTGTCTGCATTACACCGGGAAGAAATGACTCACTTGTCAATCACCGTTCTGCTGCTTTCCTGGACTGCAAACACTGAAAGGCAGGAGCAACCAGGCTGATACATTGCACATAAACCCCTCCAGTTGCCCTGCACATTTTGTGTGGTCGCTTTCCTTCTGGGAGGGCGGGGCTTCCTTCTCCTTTCCTGAAAGAAAGCTCAGAGTCTGGCCTGTGGTGGAGTCCAGTCCCGGCTCCTAGCCAGACTTATCTACACTTGCTCAGGGAACCTTTCCATTCTCCTGAGGGCAGATCAATTCCTGCCTCAAGTCTCCCATCAAACCCATCCATTGAGGTTGTGGCCGATGGCCTGGAAAAACCTGGGGAAGTTCCTGCATTGCATGGGGCTGGTCTAGTTGATCCTTGGGTCCCTTCCAACTCTACCATGATTCTATTATTTTTGGGGTCTAGTCCTAGAGGTATAGTTTGAATATTCCACACATTTCCCCTCCCCCCCGCCCACATTTTCCTGGAAAAAAACAGCTTTGGGGAAAAACAGGTAAAAACCTGGTTTCCCCCCATTTTTTTCTCCAGGTCTTCCGATCTCTAAGCACTCCCCAAGTCTTCATTACAGTGGGAGAACTACCAGAAGGCCTTTGGAGTTGGATCAGTGTGCTGAAAGACGGGAGTGGAGAATCGAGAATTGGAGAGTCAGGAGGGACCCCAAGGGTCATCCAAACCAACCCTCTGCAACGCAGGAATCACAATGAAAGAAACCCAGGCAGACGGCCACCCAACCTCTGCTTAAAAACCTCCAAGGGAGGAGAGTCCAGAGGCTGCACGCAGTATGCCAACACTGAACTGAGCCCACGCCGGGATGCCCTTCTGGCAGATCTCATTTAATGGAAATGTGCATACCGCGAATCTGTTGAAAAATTAACAAACGTTTTGTGTAAAAAAAAGGGGGGGGGGAGCGCTTCATAAATATCACAAGTTTGTTCCGGGGAAAGAAGCCAAAGAGGAGGAAGTAAAGGTATGAAACTGGAAAAGGCGACAGAGACGTTGCTGTTCCTCTTCTGCCCCGCAGGGTTGCTCCAGTCTGCTCCGCAGGTAGGCTGCTCAGAGTCCTTTGTCCACAAAGAGCAGCCTGGCAAGTGCTGGCGGCCAGGAGGGGCCACCCGGGAGAGGCCTCCCCTCTGCGCCTCGGCCTCACTGCTCCAGCATCTGCTCGCAGGTCCGGGAGACTTCTCCCAGCTTGACCCGGGCGTAGTCGATCCTCTTGAGGGCCATCTGGCAGTCCTTGCGGGCCGAGTAGCTGGAGCCTTCGTGGGGCTGCCCTGTGGCCACCTGGAGGGAAGAGGAAAGCAGGCCAGGTGAGAGGGCAGCCGGCCGCTCAGAGGAAGGATCAGCCCCCTTGCTGGTGCGGCGAGATGGGCAGAGTGTCGGAGTAGGAAGTGGGAGGCGAGGGTTCAAATCCCCCCCATGGGGAACTGGCTCCAGGCACTAGGCCCATCGACAGACCAACTCTGCGCTACGAAGACGTCTGCAAACGTGACACCACAGCTGGCAACACCAGCCATGTGGGAATCCCTTGCAGACGACGGCCGTGCCTGGAGACAGGCCGGTTGCGCATCCCTAGCAGGGACCAGAGGAGGAATGGCCGCTTTGGGGAGCGCAGAGAGAAGAAACACCAGGGTGCAGCAGCACAACCAGGCGCCTTCCTTGCCCCGGCTGCAGCCAGGATTCAAAATTAGCCAGGCACATTTTGCTACTGTCCAGACTGCGTGATTTCTGGGAAGCCTCTGCCTTAGTCCATAGTGAACACCATTTCCGTTTCCACTGTGTGTGTTGGAAGAGCAAGCGAAGGTCAGACAACACAATTGAGATAAAAGAATAAAAGAATCATAGCACCGGGAGGGACCCCGAGGGTCATCTAGTCCAACCTCAGGCCAACAGACATTCCGTTGTGGTGACTGAACTCAGGTTTAAGGTAGCATTAGGTCCCCTGCAACCTGTTCCCCTCCCCTTCCCTCAAACTGTGCACAATGTCGTCCTTTTCAAAGAATCGCAGAGGCGAGAAGGGATCTCAGGGCCATCTAGTCCAGCCCCCTGCAATGCAGGAATCTCAACATGCCGCCCCCCCCATCATCCCATCTGAAACCACACGGGGTCTGACTTAGCTTTGCAAGAAAGTTTTTGATCATTAGAATAGTCTTGCAGCCCCTGGAGGAGAGCAAAAGTTCTCACACTGGCCCACAAGGTGGGGAATCTGGCAGCAGGATCCGAGGCCAAGGGTAGCAATGTGCCCTCCTGCGGTGAGTTCCCAGCCACTGGTACCCAGAAGCACCACTGCTGCCTCTGGCTGTGGAAGCAGAGCAATGGCCGGCAGCCACAGACGGCCGTTCTCACCCCCCTGAATTGGCTTCCTCACCTTTTGGAGCCACCCCACTTGGTGTGCCACGGCAGCCGCCAGCCCAGGAGCCCCAAGCAAGTCCTGAGTGTGACAGAGCATCCCTCTCCAGATATGGCAGGTGGACATGATCTGCACCTTCCAGAAACGGGGGACTTTTCCCCGGCCGGGTAGGCGGACAGCTGGACCGTCAATTTAGACATATTGCCGTCGTCTCCTATTTCTTGCTACTGCGGCTTCTGGGGTGCTGGATGGGGCCTGACAGGAGCCCCCCCCCAAGCGCCAGCCCCGCCCACCCACCTGCGTCAGGTAGCGGATCTGGGCGGAGAGCTCCGACTCCACCTTCTGGACGGAGCCCATGAACTGGGAGGTCTGGCGCTCCAGCAGGCTCCAGTTGGGCTTCTCCTTCGACAGCTCCAGGATCACTGTGCCTGCGGGGGGGGGGAGAAGGGGGTGATGTCAGAGGTGGGCGGGGGCAAGCAGGGGGCACCCTCAGGCACAGGGGGATTTCCACCCAGCTCCGCCCATGGGACCGCCTGGCCCCGCCTGCTCCCCTAAGGCCCCGCCCACAGCAGCAGGACCCGCCCACCGGCGTCCTAGATGGAAGCTGAAGCCCCGCCCCAGAGGCCTCTAAGCCCCGCCCAGACGTCTCTTCCCCTCCCGGAGGCCCCGCCCCTCTTTCCCCAGGCCCCGCCCACCCGCGCTCTGCATGGCCGCGCCGATCTCTCGCTCCAGCTCCTCCAGCAGCCCGCAGCCGCTCGTTGGCCAAGCCCCAGCCCGTAGGCGCCCGAGCCCGACACGGAGGCCGCCGCCGAGGAGCCCCGCCGCCATCGCGCTCCTGCCCGGCTCCCGCCCTCTCCTCCGCCGGACGCCTGCGCATGCGCCGAGCAATCAAGAACTACGTCTCCCGGCGCGCCCTGCGCTCTCTTGGCGGCACGTGACTCTGGGCGGGCGGGGCCGTGCAGCGCTGTCTTCCGTCGGGAGGCGTGCGCATGCGCCTCCGTGAGGTGAGGCCTTTAAATACATCTCTTCCGCCCTCCGTCTCCCGTCGTCCTCTTCGTGAGTGGGCGGGGCCATGCCTGGCGCGGGCTGGCGGCAGCACGTGCGCGCGGAGCTGGAGCGGCGGGAGCGGCGCGCGCGGGGCCTGCGGCTGCTGCTGGAGCGACGTGAGAGGCCGGGGAAACTCCCCGCCACCGGACTGACTGCGGGGCGGGGGGGGGCTGGGCGGGGGTCCCCTCGGGGTGGCAGCTCCTCCCTTCGCCCTGCTGCCCGCATCTCCCGCCCTCCAGCCGCGTTGGAGGCCCCGAGTTCGGCCTTCCTTCCTCTCTCCCTTTCTCCACGGCACTCATAGCTCCATCAGCTTCCACCAGGCCTGCCTCTTCCTCGCCTTTTCTCTTGGCAAATCAGCCCGCCCCCTGGACCACTTCAGCCCCCCCCCGTGACCCCCACATGAAGGGCAGCACAGAACGCTAAGACATCAGAACAGTAACTTTGGCGGCCCTTTTCCGACTTGGCAATAGCCATTTTCAGGTGAGCTAGCCAGAACCGCACAGAGTTATTCCAAAGACAGACACCTCATTGATTTGCATCACGTCCATAATTCTGCCAAGGATCCCTGGTCGGTCTGGGGATTGGCCTTTTTCGCGGCTGCCACCCCTGGGCCCACTCCTTTCGGAGTCTGAAGACGTTTTCTGGTTAGGGAGAAACTCTGGGAGGCTATAAAGCAGCGGCAGAGAGGCGGGGAAGGCTGGCAGGGAGTTTCAAGGGCTGGAGGGCCGCTTCCCTGTCCATAGAGTCAGAATAGGATCTTCTTGGCTCTCTGCCTGTGCAGAATCCTGCAACTGCTTACAGCAGGCCCTCGCCTTCCAGAGGTTGCGGGACTACAACTCCCAGCAGCCACCAAGTGGGTGGAGGCTGAACCACGAGCTGAACCACGGCCACCCACTGGCTTGCCGTGTTTCCTTTGCTGTGATTCCATGCACCGCAGCGGGTTGGGCTGGACGACCCCTAGGGCCCCTTCTGCTGGCAACCATTGCCTTGAACATCAGAACCACCCTGCTGGAGGGGCCAAGCGGGGCCCCAGCCCAACGTCCTGATCTCACAGCAGGCAGACAGACGCCTCTTTTGGGAAGCCACCTGGCAGGATTCGAACACAAGTGCAGCTCTCCCCACCATTTCCATCAAAGGGCCTTCATCCTCACTAGTAGCCACTGACAGCCTGTCCTCCGCTGTGAAACTGCCCAATTCTCGTTTTAAAGCTGGTTCAGTTGGTGGCCGTTTGCTACCTCCTGTGGAGGGAGTTCCCGCAGGTTAACGGCATGCTGGGATGAAGAAGTTGCTTTCTCTCCCCAGCCTTTGGGAGAGGCAAGCGGGGCGGTGGAGGCCTAGGGTGGGGCTGCCCTTTCTAAAAGCCCCTTCCCCAGAGACCCCCTTCCTTCCCAGCCCCCTCCTGAGACGCTCCTCTTGCTCTTCCAGATGAAAAGCTGTATGACCGCCTGGATGCTCTGCAGACCCTGCTGGAGGAGGAAGGAGGGGCAGTGGCCGTGCCAGTGGGGTCCTGCCGGTGAGTGCACAGGGTGGGGTGCTGGCGTGGGGGGAAGGATGAGCATTTGCTGAACGGGGGGGCAGTCCTCTTCTGGCTTTTCCTTCTTTTTTTAATTACATTTTTATTGATTTCTTAACACACCAATTCCAACAGTCATACAACATATCTTTTCATCTCATGCAATGCTTTAGACTTCCGTTAACACCTCTGATGATTTTCCATTCTTTATCACTTATTCTGCATTTCTTAATTCCTATATTGAATTTCAGGTTTCGAATCCTTCCTGTAAGTTTATCTAATTCTGCCTAGTCCACCTCTTCTGGCTTTTTCCAGGCGCCCCCAGGAAGTGGCCTCCGTCCGGGTGCAGCAGGAGATGGAGCTGATTGAACTCCGGGAGAGAGAGAGGAGGTGAGCTGAGGCTCCCCGAGGGCCTGGATCGGGGCCAGCTCCTGTGGCTCCGTCGGATTATGGAATTGTTTGAGTGGGAGGGGCTCCCCAGGGTCATCTAGTCCAAACCCCTGCAGTGCTGGAATCTCAAGGCTGGCATCTCTGATCAGGGGGGCAATTCAGGAGAGAAATAAATAAGTGCTGCGCTTGCTTTGCAGTTGTGCCAGCGTGTCGCTCTTTGACGGACATCCTGAGGGAGGCGGAGGCAGAGACAAGGAGCAGCGGGCCAAAGTAGGAGTCTTGGTCTCTCCGGCCCCCCAGGTGTGGGAGGGGAGGGGGCTCGGCCTTTTAAAGAAGTTGGGTGCAGCTGGTTCACGGCGTTGCGTCCCGGCAGTTTTTCTTCCTCTGTTCCCCTGTCTTTGCTGCAAAATTCACCAGAGGCCCACAAACGAAATATTGCATTGGCGGGGGTTGGGCTGGATGACCCCGGGGTGTCCCTGCTGGCTTTTTCTGGGATCCGGTGCTTCTGCCCTCCGCAGGATGAGGTGCCTGGCCCAGGATCTGGCTGCCCTGACCCGCCGGCACACCCCCTGAATTGGCTTCCTCACCTTTTAGAGCCACCCACTTGGTGGCCACGGCAGCCGCCAGCCCAGGAGCCCCAAGCAAGTCCTGAGTGTGACAAGAGCATCCCTCTCCAGATAGCAGGTGGACATGATCTGCACCTTCCAGAAACGGGGGACTTTTCCCCGGCCGGGTAGGCGGAACAGCTGGACTCAATTTAGACATATTACCTCCGTCTCCTATTTCTTGCTACTGCGGCTTCTGGGGTGCTGGATGGGGCCTGACAGGAGCCCCCCCCCACAAGCACCAGCCCCGCCACCCACCTGCGTCAGGTAGCGGATCTGGCGGAGAGCTCCGACTCCACCTTCTGGACGGAGCCATGAACTGGGAGGTCTGGCGCTCTCAGCAGGCTCCAGTTGGCTTCTCCTTCGACAGCTCCAGGATCACCGTGCCTGCGGGGGGGGGAGAAAGGGGGTGATGTCAGAGGTGGGCGGGGCAAGCAGGGGCACCCTCAGGCACAGGGGATTTCCACCCAGCTCCGCCCATGGGACCGCCTGGCCCCGCCTGCAACCCTAAGCCCCGCCCACCGTCCGGCACCCCGCCCCAGAGGCCTCTAAGCTCCGCCCAGACGTCTCTCCCCTCCGGAGCCCCGCCCCTCTTTCCCCAGGCCCCGCCCACCCGCGCTCTTGCATGGCCGCGCCGATCTCTCGCTCCAGCTCCTCCAGCAGCCGCAGCCGCTCGTTGGCCAGCCCAGCCCGTAGGCGCCCGAGCCCGACACGGAGGCCGCCGCCGCCGAGGAGCCCGCCGCCATCGCGCTCCTGCCCGGCTCCCGCCCTCTCCTCCGCCGGGACGCCTGCGCATGCGCCGAGCTATCAGGAACTACGTCTCCCGGCGCGCCCTGCGCTCTCTTGGCGGCACGTGACTCTGGGCGGGCGGGGCCGTGCAGCGCTGTCTTTCCGTCGGGAGGCTGCGCATGCGCCTCCGTGAGGTGACCCCCTGGTGGCGTTTCTGAGGGACTGCAGCTCCAGACTCGGCCCGGGCTCAGCTGTCCATCACAGCAGGGCTTTCTGCTCAGTCTCTAAAATCCTCTGGACATGGAAGTGGTTGCATGTCTTCCCTATAGCCTCTTGTCTGCATTACACCGGGAAGAAATGACTCACTTGTCAATCACCGTTCTGCCTGCTTTCCTGGACTGCAAACACTGAAAGGCAGGAGCAACCAGGCTGATACATTGCACATAAACCCCTCCAGTTGCCTGCACATTTTGTGTGGTCGCTTTCCTTCTGGGAGGGCCGGGGGCTTCCTTCTCCTTTCCTGAAAGAAAGCTCAGAGTCTGGCCTGTGGTGGAGTCCAGCCCTGGCTCCTAGCCAGACTTATCTACACTTGCTCAGGGAACCTTTCCATTCTCCTGACGGCAGATCAATTCCTGCCTCAAGTCTCCCATCAAACCCATCCATTGAGGTTGTGCCGATGGCCTGGAAAAACCTGGGGAAGTTCCTGCATTGCATGGGGCTGGTGGAGTTGATCCTTGGGGTCCCTTCCAACTCTACCATGATTCTATTATTCTTGGGGTCTAGTCCTAGAGATATAGTTTGAATATTCCACACATTTCCCCTCAGTTTTCCTGGAAAAAAACAGCTTTGGGGAAAAACAGGGAAAAACCTGGTTTCCCCCCATTTTTTCTCCAGGTCTTCCGATCTCTAAGCACTCCCCAAGTCTTCATTACAGTGGGACAACTACCAGAAGGCCTTTGGAGTTGGATCAGTGTGCTGAAAGACGGGAGTGGAGAATTGGAGAGTCAGGAGGGACCCCAAGGGTCATCCAAACCAACCCTCTGCAACGCAGGAATGAAAGAAACCCAGGCAGACGGCCACCCAACCTCTGCTTAAAAACCTCCAAGGGAGGAGAGTCCAGAGGCTGCACGCAGTATGCCAACACTGAACTGAGCCCACGCCGGATGCCCTTCTGGCAGATCTCATTTAATGGAAATGTGCATACCGCGAATCTGTTGAAAAATTAACAAACGTTTTGTGTAAAAAAAAAGGGGGGGGGCGCTTCATAAATATCACAAGTTTGTTCCGGGAAAGAAGCCAAAGAGGAGGAAGTAAAGCTATGAAACTGGAAAAGGCGACAGAGACGTTGCTGTTCCTCTTCTGCCCCGCAGGGTTGCTCCAGTCTGCTCCGCAGGTAGGCTGCTCAGAGTCCTTTGTCCACAAAGAGCAGCCTGGCAAGTGCTGGCGGCCAGGAGGGGCCACCCGGGAGAGGCCTCCCCTCTGCGCCTCGGCCTCACTGCTCCAGCATCTGCTCGCAGGTCCGGGGAGACTTCTCCCAGCTTGACCCGGGCGTAGTCGATCCTCTTGAGGGCCATCTGGCAGTCCTTGCGGGCCGAGTAGCTGGAGCCTTCGTGGGGCTGCCCTGTGGCCACCTGGAGGGAAGAGGAAAGCAGGCCAGGTGAGAGGGCAGCCGGCGGCTCAGAGGAAGGACCTGCCCCCTTGCTGGGTGCGGCGAGATGGGCAGAGTGTCGGACTAGGAAGTGGGAGGCGAGGGTTCAAATTTCCCCCCATGGGAACTGGCTCCAGGCACTAGGCCCATCGACAGACCAACTCTGCACTACAAAGACGTCTGCAAACGTGACACCACAGCTGGCAACACCAGCCATGCGGGAATCCCTTGCAGACGACGGCCGTGCCTGGAGACAGGCTGGTTGCGCATCCCTAGCAGGGACCAGAGGAGGAATGGCCGCTTTGGGGAGTGCAGAGAGAAGAAACACCAGGGTGCAGCTGCAGCAGCACAACCAGGCGCCTTCCTTGCCCCGGCTGCAGCCAGGATTCAAAATTAGCCAGGCACATTTTGCTACTGTCCAGACTGCGTGATTTCTGGGAAGCCTCTGCCTTAGTCCATAGTGAACACCATTTCCGTTTCCACTGTGTGTGTTGGAAGAGCAAGCGAAGGTCAGACAACACAATTGAGATAAAAGAATAAAAGAATCATAGCACCGGGGGGGACCCCGAGGGTCATCTAGTCCAACCTCAGGCCAACCGACATTCCGTTGTGGTGACTGAACTCAGGTTTAAGGCAGGATTTGGTCCCCTGCAACCTGTTCCCCTCCCCTTCCCTCAAACTGTGCACAATGTCTCCTTTTCAAAGAATCGTAGAGCGAGAAGGGATCTCAAGGGCCATCTAGTCCAGCCCCCTGCAATGCAGGAATCTCAACATGCCGCCCCCCCCCATCATCCCATCTGAAACCACACGGGGTCTGGCTTAGCTTTGCAAGAAAGTTTTTGATCATTAGAATAGTCTTGCAGCCCCTGGAGGAGAGCAAAAGTTCTCACACTGGCCCACAAGGTGGGGAATCTGGCAGCAGGATCCGAGGCCAAGGGTAGCAATGTGCCCTCCTGCGGTGAGTTCCCAGCCACTGGTACCCAGAAGCACCACTGCTGCCTCTGGCTGTGGAAGCAGAGCATGGCCGGCAGCCACAGACGGCCTTTCTCACCCCCCTGAATTGGCTTCCTCACCTTTTAGAGCCACCCCACTTGGTGGCCACGGCAGCCGCCAGCCCAGGAGCCCCAAGCAAGTCCTGAGTGTGACATAGAGCATCCCTCTCCAGATACGGCAGGTGGACATGATCTGCACCTTCCAGAAACGGGGGACTTTTCCCCGGCCGGGTAGGCGGACAGCTGGACCGTCAATTTAGACATATCACCTCCGTCTCCTATTCTTGTTACTGCGGCTTCTGGGGTGCTGGATGGGGCCTGACAGGAGCCCCCCCCCACAAGCACCAGCCCCGCCCACCCACCTGCGTCAGGTAGCGGATCTGGGCGGAGAGCTCCGACTCCACCTTCTGGACGGAGCCCATGAACTGGGAGGTCTGGCGCTCCAGCAGGCTCCAGTTGGGCTTCTCCTTCGACAGCTCCAGGATCACCGTGCCTGCGGGGGGGGGGGGGAGAAGGGGGTGATGTCAGAGGTGGGCGGGGCAAGCAGGGGGCACCCTCAGGCACAGGGGGATTTCCACCCAGCTCCGCCCATGGGACCGCCTGGCCCCGCCTGCAACCCTAAGGCCCCGCCCACCGGCACCCCGCCCCAGAGGCCTCTAAGCTCCGCCCAGACGTCTCCTCCCCTCCCGGAGGCCCCGCCCCTCTTTCCCCAGGCCCCGCCCACCCGCGCTCTGCATGGCCGCGCCGATCTCTCGCTCCAGCTCCTCCAGCAGCCGCAGCCGCTCGTTGGCCAAGCCCAGCCCGTAGGCGCCCGAGCCCGACACGGAGGCCGCCGCCGCCGAGGAGCCCGCCGCCATCGCGCTCCTGCCCGGCTCCCGCCCTCTCCTCCGCCGGGACGCCTGCGCATGCGCCGAGCTATCAGGAACTACGTCTCCCGGCGCGCCCTGCGCTCTCTTGGCGGCACGTGACTCTGGGCGGGCGGGGCCGTGCAGCGCTGTCTTCCGTCGGGAGGCGTGCGCATGCGCCTCCGTGAGGTGAGGCCTTTAAATACATCTCTTCCGCCCTCCGTCTCCCGTCGTCCTCTTCGTGAGTGGGCGGGGCCATGCCTGGCGCGGGCTGGCGGCAGCACGTGCGCGCGGAGCTGGAGCGGCGGGAGCGGCGCGCGCGGGGCCTGCGGCTGCTGCTGGAGCGACGTGAGAGGCCGGGGGAACTCCCCGCCACCGGACTGACTGCGGGGCGGGGGGGGGCTGGGCGGGGGTCCCCTCGGGGCTGGCAGCTCCTCCCTTCGCCCTGCTGCCCGCATCTCCCGCCCTCCAGCCGCGTTGGAGGCCCCGAGTTCGGCCTCCTTCCTCTCTCCCCTTTCTCCACGGCGCTCATAGCTTCATCAGCTTCCACCAGGCTGCCTCTTCCTCGCCTTTTCTCTGGGCAAATCAGCCCGCCCCCTGGACCACTTTCAGCCCCCCCCCGTGACCCCCACATGAAGGGCAGCACAGAACGCTAAGACATCAGAACAGTAACTTTGGCGGCCCTTTTCCGACTTGGCAATAGCCATTTTCAGGTGAGCTAGCCAGAACCGCACAGAGTTATTCCAAAGACAGACACCTCATTGATTTGCATCACGTCCATAATTCTGCCAAGGATCCCTGGTCTGGGGATTGGCCTTTTTCGCGGCTGCCACCCCCTGGGCCCACACCCTTCGGAGTCTGAAGACGTTTTCTGGTTAGGGAGAAACTCTGGGAGGCTATAAAGCAGCGGCAGAGAGGCGGGAAGGCTGGCAGGAGTTTCAAGGGCTGGAGGGCCGCTTCCCTGCCATAGAGTCAGAATAGGATCTTCTTGGCTCTCTGCCTGGTGCAGAATCCTGCAACTGCTACAGCAGGCCTCGCCTCCAAAGGTTGCGGGACTACAACTCCCAGCAGCCACCAAGTGGGTGGAGGCTGAAGCACGGCACCCACTGGCTTGTGTGTTTCCTTTGCTGTGATTCCTGCACCGCAGCGGGTTGGGCTGGACGACCCCTAGGGCCCCTTCTGCTGGCAACCATTGCCTTGAACATCAGAACCACCTGCTGGAGGGGCCAAAGCGGGGCCCCCAGCCCAACGTCCTGATCTCACAGCAGGCAGACAGACGCCTCTTTTGGGAAGCCACCTGGCAGGATTCGAACACAAGTGCAGCTCTCCCCACCATTTCCATCAAAGGGCCTTCATCCTCACTAGTAGCCACTGACAGGCCTGTCCTCCGCTGTGAAACTGCCCAATTCTCTTTTAAAGCTGTTCAAGTTGGTGGCCGTTTGCTACCTCCTGTGGGAGGGAGTTCCGCAGGTTAACGGCATGCTGGATGAAGAAGTTGCTTTCTCTCCCCAGCCTTTGGAGAGGCAAGCGGGGCGGTGGAGGCCTAGGGTGGGGCTGCCCTTTCTAAAAGCCCCTTTCCCCAGAGACCCCCTTCCTTCCCAGCCCCCTCCTGAGACGCTCCTTCTTGCTCTTCCAGATGAAAAGCTGTATGGCCGCCTGGATGCTCTGCAGACCCTGCTGGCAGCGGCGGAGGAGGAGGAGGGGCAGTGGCCAGTGCCAGTGGGGTCCTGCCGGTGAGTGCACAGGGTGGGGTGCTGGCGTGGGGGGGAAGGATGAGCATTTGCTGAACGGGGGGGGCAGTCCTCTTCTGGCTTTTTCCTTCTTTTTTAATACATTTTTATTGATTTCTTAACACACCAATTCCAACAGTCATACAACATATCTTTTCATCTCATGCAATGCTTTAGACTTCCGTTAACACCTCTGATGATTTTCCATTCTTTATCACTTATTCTGCATTTCTTAATTCCTATATTGAATTTCAGGTTTCGAATCCTTCCTGTAAGTTTATCTAATTCTGCCTAGTCCACCTCTTCTGGCTTTTTCCAGGCGCCCCCAGGAAGTGGCCTCCGTCCGGGTGCAGCAGGAGATGGAGCTGATTGAACTCCGGAGAGAGAGAGAGGAGGTGAGCTGAGGCTCCCCGAGGGCCTGGATCGGGGCCAGCTCCTGTGGCTCCGTCGGATTATGGAATTGTTTGAGTGGGAGGGGCTCCCCAGGGGTCATCTAGTCCAACCCCCTGCAGTGCTGGAATCTCAAGGCTGGCATCTCTGATCGGGGGGGCAATTCAGGAGAGAAATAAATAAGTGCTGCGCTTGCTTTGCAGTTGTGCCAGCGTGTCGCTCTCTTGACGGACATCCTGAGGGAGGCGGAGGCAGAGAACAAGGAGCAGCGGGCAAAGTAGGAGTCTTGGTCTCTCCGGCCCCCCAGGTGTGGGAGGGGAGGGGGGCTCGGCCTTTTAAAGAAGTTGGGTGCAGCTGGTTCACCGGCGTTGCGTCCCGGCAGTTTTTCTTCCTCTGTTCCCCCTGTCTTTGCTGCAAAATTCACCAGGAGGCCCACAAAACGAAATATTGCATTGGCGGGGGTTGGGCTGGATGACCCCGGGGTGTCCCTGCTGGCTTTTTCTGGGATCCGGTGCTTCTGCCCCTCCGCAGGATGAGGTGCCTGGCCCAGGATCTGGCTGCCCTGACCCGCCGGCACGAGGAGGCGCAGTGCCAGGCCTGGGCGCTTTCCCAGGAGGCCGAGGGGCTGCGCCGGGAGCTGGCCGAGACGCAGGGACTCATGCAGGAGGCGCAGCGGAAGAGGGAGGAGCTGGAGGCGCGCTGGGTGCGCGAGAAGGCGCTGGAGGCTGGCCGGCTGAACCAGGCCAACGAGCAGCACGACCGGTGAGCAGAGGGGCTCTGTCCGGAAAGATGCTCAGGCGGGGGGTTGTGGAGGTGCAGTCGCACCACGGAAGCCGAACGGAAGTCCATTCGACTTCCAAAACATTTGGGAACCAAGGCCGGGCTTCCGATTGGCTGCAGCAAGCTCAGTACAATACAATAATCTTTATTGTCATTGTCCCATACAGAACAACAAAATTGAAATATCTACACAAGACATTCAAAACCAACAAGCCTGCTATCCCAGCCTGGTTAGCCCCCTTAAAACTCTGATACCCCATTTTTAAGTACAATATACTCCCTTACAATGCGTTTGGAGCCCCATCGGATGTCTGGGTTCCCACGAACATTTGCAAACCAGAACACTCTGCGGCGTTCGGGAGCCAAAAAGTTTGAATGCCAAGACATTTGGGTTAGAATTCATATCCTGCCCTTTGTCGTCAGGTGTCTGGGCAGATCACAGAATAAAACAAAATGAAACGGGAAGGCAATAGACACAGGGCAATAGACACAGGGCGCTAGTTAGCCAAGGGCCTGGGGGAAGAGGAAAGCTTCTGGCTGGTGCCTAAAAATGTGTACTAGGAGGAGGTTTTTTTGGAAACATCTCTCCCCCCCCCCCACAAAATGAATACATTTTTAGGCCCCAATTGAAAATAGTCCAGGTGCCATTCAGAGAGCCCGATTTCCGGACGTGTCCAGGGAAAATAATGAAGTACAATGTACAATGAAGTCGCCAGGCGAACCACCCTGGGGAGAGCGTTCCAGCCATGAGGAGCCATTACAGAAAAGGCCATGTTATCGTATTGCCACCCTCTGGATTTCTCATGGAGGCAGCACACGAAGAAGGCCTCCGATGAGGGTCACAGGGTCTGGGGTGGTTCATAGGGAGAGAGATGGTCCTTGGGGTGTTTTGCTCCTGAGCATACATATAGTATGTTTATATAAATTCTATTAACGTTTAATTGTTAATGATTGCTTCCTCCCGCCAGGCCTTTAACTGTTTCAGTTGTAAGGGGAATTGTTGCTGTTTAATAACAATAAAATTTTATTTATATCCTGCCCTCCCCAGCCAAAGCCAGGCTCAGAGTTTAGTCATTTAGTCGTGTCCCAATGGAGGGGAATAATAATAATAATAATAATAATAATAATAATAATAATAATAATAATACAGCAGAATGTTTTCAAGCTGATTGGAAACAGGCTTGTTGGGGCGGCTGTTCAGAATTCTGGACCCTCCAAGCACAGCCACACCCCCCCCCGGGCCATTGCACTCTGTTTGCCCGAGGCTCCTCTTCTTCCCTGAAATCCACTGCAGCCCCGACCCCTTCTCTCTCCCACCCCAGGTATCAGCGCAGAGTCCGGCGCCTCCAAGAGAAGCTGCAGGAGGCCAGGGAAGCGGCCGGCATGTGAGTCCGTCTCCTTTTCCTGAGGGAGGGCAAGGGGGGGTCCCTCTCTAGGGGGGCTGACATCCCCGCTCGGCCTTGAAGCTCCCTGGGCCACTCCTGCGCACAGCGTGGAGTTGAACTGCGGAACTCCCTCCCACAGGAGGCAGATTCCTGGGCCATCAGTGAGTCTGCTCCGTCTCCACAATTGCAGGCGGTCCTGCTTCCGAATCCCAGTTGCCGGATGCTGCACGAGGGGAGAGTTGCTCTTGCGCACGGATCCTGCTTGCGGGTTCCAATGATGGGCGTCTGGTTGGCCACTGCGAGGCCAGGAGGCGGGACTAGGTGGGCGCCCGTTGCCCTGGTGTCCTTGGGGAACCTCCAGCTCCAGAGGCAGTCTACCTCCACTCCTCAGTTCTTGGGGGCATTTGGCCCCTGGGAGAACAGGAGGAGGGGCTCCCCTTGGGGCTTTAAATTGGGGTTATCCGTCCTGGCACAAGGTTTGAGGGTGCCTTGCTGTCCCCTGCTTTGTGATGAAGGGGGCAGCTGCCTTGTGGGGAGGGGGGAACCATTCCCAGCTCCAGGAAGCTGTGGGGTTGGGCTGCTTTGAGAAGGGAGGGGGGCATTCTGCACCTCGCCCTTTTATCATGGTGCCAATCTGAGGAGGCCTGGGGGCACCTGGCTTTCCCCCAACGGTCTCTGGGCCCTGAACACCTCTATCTATCATCTATCTATCTATCTGTTTTACCCCGCCCATCTGGCTGGGTTTCCCCAGCCACTCTCTAATTTTCAGTCCTTCTCTATGGACCAGGCCCTTAAAATTAGTAGTACAGTCATACCTTGGATTGAAGTAGCTTCAGGTTAAGCATTTTTGGGTTGCGCTCCATGGAGACCCGGAAGTAATGGAGCGCGTTGCTTCTGGGATTTGCCGCTCGCGCATGCGCAGACGCTCAAAATGATGTCACATGCATGCACGGAAGTGGCGAATCGCCAGGCGCACGGATGCGGGTTGCGTTCACTTCAGGATGTGAATGGGGCTCCGGAACGGATCCTGTTCGCATCCAGAGGTACCACTGTAGTAGTAGTAATAATAATAATAATAATAGAATTTTTCTGTGTCCGTCACACTGGGATCTTGTGTCTTGGCTGACCACTGTGTGTGTGTTGATCCCGGGTCTGGTCCTTATGTCTTAAAAAATAAAACAGAGCAGCAGGATAAAAATGCAATTAATAAATCACAGAATTGAAAGGCTGGAAGGACGGCGAGGATCCTCTGGTGCAGCCCCTTCAGGGCAGGAATTGCAGCTGAAACATTCATGGCAGACAGACACCAAACCTTTAAATTGTAAAAAAAAATTAAACTTATTAGTGTATTTTTGCAACACTTTAAGTTTCCTGTTTTTTGTAGACCGCTTAGAGATGTTTTTAAAATATTAAGCGGTATTGAAATCACTCAATCGACTCCGCTTAAAAAACCTCCAAGGGAGGAGAGTCCTAGATTGAACGTTTTGTTTTTCACCGTTTTAAATGTTTTTAATTTCCCTCTGGGGGAAAGCAGGGTGTCGTTTTCTAAGAGAGCCACTTTGCAGAGGCTGGTCCTGCCTTCTGACCAGCAGCTGCCTTTGCTCTGAAAGCCCCCCACTTTTTCTTAGGAAAGGGGGGCACCCCACTGCCTGCCCCCAACACGGTCTGCCCCTCTCTCTCGACGCAGGATTCCCAGGCCGGCAGCTGCAGAATCGTCCCCCAGCGACAGCACCTTCAGCACGTCTTGCGAGGAAACCAGCGCAGAAGGGGGGAGCAGCCCAAAGGTGGGTGTGGCTGGGGGGGCATATTTAGTCAAGTAATGTGCGCCCCACCTCTCAGGCGAGAGATTCTTCCAGGGCGGAAGGTTTCTAGGAAAGCATCAAACTGCATTCTCGTACCATTTGATAAGAGTTTATTGCAATCTTGGAAACGATGAAGGGGACTTGGTAGACCGTGAGCCAATGGTGTGACGCAGCAGCAAAAAAGGTGAATGCTATCCTAGCTGCATGAACAGGAGTGTCCATATCAAGGAAAGGAATAATATTGCTTTATTTTGCCTTGGCGAGACCAAACCTGGACCCCTGTGTCCAGTTCTGGGCATCACAATTTAAGAAGGAGGATGACAAGCTGAAAGAGGGCAACCAGGATGGAAGCCAGGCCTGATGAGGAATGGTTGAAGGAGCTGGGGATGTTTAGCCTGGGAAAGAGGAGAGATGAGAACCATCGAATATCTGAAAGGCTGTCCCATGGAGGATGGAGCAAGCTGGTTTTCTCCTGCTCCATAATAATAATAATAATAAATAATAATAATAATTTGTTATTTATACCCCGCCCATCTGGCTGGGTTTCCCCAGCCACTCTGGGCGGCTTCCAACAAAATATTACAATACAATAGTGTAATTAAAAGCTTCCCTAAAGAGGGCTGCCTTCAGATGTCTTCTAAAAGTCGGGTAGTTATTTATTTCCTTGACATCTGATGGGAGGGCGTTCCACAGGGCGGGCGCCACCACCGAGAAGGCCCTTGGCGCTGGACCTCCAGAGGAGAGGACTAGGGGCCATGGCTTCAAGTCACAAGGAGATTCCAACTAACATCAGGAAGATGTTGGAGGTCTTCAAGCAGTTTGGGTGGCCGCCTTTCAGGAATTCCTGAGCTGCGATTCCTGCATTGTAGGAGGTTAGACTAGAGGACCTCGGGGGGCCCCCCACTCCTCAGTCCCACACTTCCTAGCGCTCCTTCCCCTCCTTCTAGGTTTCAGAAGAAGCACCAGCAGAGCCCAGCCCCCCTCGGGCCTCATCCCCTCTGGGTCAGCGCGCAGCTGCAGGTAGCCTTGTCCCTCCTTCCCGGGGAGTCCGTGGGGCAGCGAACTTCCTCCAGGTCCTTAACGTGGCCCCTTTCTTTCTCGCTGCAGGTCCAATTCTCGAGGCAGCCCCCGCCCCGTGAATGCAGCCTGGCCCTTTCCAAGAACACCTGCACAGCCGGTGGTGGGCTTGCTCAGTGGTCACAGCACGCTTGCAATGGCACCCTGGTTCTTGACCTGGACCTCGTGTCACGGAGAGTGTGCTGGTTGTGTGAATTGCTCAGGAAAAGGGGGCTAAGCCACACCCACAACCCTGGAGTCTACAAGTTTTTTGGGGGGCAGGGATAGCGTGGCCTCAAGCCCCCCCCCAGGGTTGGGCGGCTACCGAAAGCCCCACGTGGCTCTTCTTCTGCGGGTGGGGGGGGTCTTCCTTCTTGCAAAACTTGGGGGTCAGGGAGCGTCTGGCCCCACAGCGATGCAGCAAGAGGGGGGAGTCCTTGCTGCAGATCTGAGAATCTCTGGCAGGGGGTCTGCAATTTTCACAGGAGCCCCCTTTCCATTTCCCCAACACCCCCGCCCCGTTTTTAATGCTCAAACCACTTAATAAAAACTTCCAGGCATCTGTTAACCGTTTTTTAATTTTCATTTGTTGCTCTCTGCTCAGACAACGTAGGAAACAATAATGGCCTTTTTAAAATTTCTTTTTACACGCATTGCCTGCCCTGCACCTGTTTGTACAGGGGGGCAGCCCTGCAAAGGTTTGGGGGGGGCACGACTGGGCACAAAGCACAGAGACGTTGGCACACACCTGCCCCCTTCGGCATTTGAGGGCAGGGGGAGGGGTCCCCAATCCCAGGCAGACGGGCTCAGCTCACACCCCCTTGGCCAGCAGAGGCACATCTCGGGGGGGGGGGGGCTTTGTTGAAAAAGAAAGGGGGGGGAGACAGACAGAAGAGGCCTCCCAGCCCCAATTGATTTTTTTAAAAGGGAAAAAGGAGAGAGTTCAACTGACCAATTGTTTTCCCTAACCAGTTAAAACATCATTTAAAAATAAGACATTTATATAAAGAGCAGTGGGGGGGGGGGTTGCCCAGAGAGATTAGACACACACAACGTGGTGCTTTGGGGGGGGGGGATACGACAGTCAGACGATAATGCCCAATAAATGTTCCAGTGCGTTAGACAAAAAATTGGGAGAGGGACGGACGGACGAGGACGGTGGCGTTAAAATCCATCTGTGGAGAAGATACGCAGCAGCAGATAAAGATTAAAAGCTGGGGGGGCGGAGGTGGCAGCCCTCCCCCCTCCATTTTTAGTCACATTAAAAGCCCCCCCCCAAATACAGCATGAAGACACAAGGCAGGGGGGGGTGATGGCTCCTATAAGGAAGGAGGGGGGAGTAGAGGATGAGGCGACATTCATACGAGGTGGGGGCCATTTCTCGGCTCTTTCCTCTCTCTCCGCCCCCCCCCCAACTTGGCTGGACCTGTGGTGGCGAGGGGGGGGTGTTCCTCCCTCCCTAGCAAAAATGGTCGTCGTCTTCCTTGTCGTCCTTCAGCCCCTTCAGGCGCAGGCGGGCAAAGTCTTCAAACACAATGTCGTCGTCCTGCCCGTAGCTGGGGGGGGGGGGGGAGGAAAGGAGAAAACGGGGGGGGGCAGAGTCAGGCTGCTTTGAATATGCACAAAAATGGTGGCTTTTCTTTCCCCTTTGCACCCGTAAAAGATCTGCTTGTTTCCCTGTATTTCTACATTCCATAATTTCCTCGCTCTGCTTTTCTGCAGCAACAACCCTGCCAGGTGGGCTGGGGCTGAAAGGGAGAAACCGGCCCCCTCCAGACCCCCAGCCAAGCAGAGATTCGAACCCGGGTGCTCTGACCACTGCACCACACTGCCGCTGGTAGCTCTCTGAGCAGGACCCAGAGGTCCAGCTCCTTTCCTGGGGGCCTGGACACGGGGGGGGGGGATTGGAGGGGGGGCCAGATTCTCCACTTTTAAACCCCCCACCCCAATTGAACACACTCCCTCCCACCCCTAAAGTGTTAGATGGGCAATGCAGTCACCCCATAGAAGTCCTCAAAGGGGGTTTGTGGGCTCCCCCCATATTATCCCTGCCCTGTATTAAAAAAACCCTAAAAACAACCATTCCAACTTGCGGAATAGAAAATAGAAATGTCAGGCTGTTGTAAGTTCTAAACTAGGACTGGGGAGCCCATTGGGTGACTGGGGCCCCCAAACCTCCCTCGTGGGGTTGTTGTTGGGGGGATAAAAAGGGGAGGGGGAGAACAAGGCACATCTTGAACAACTTGGGAGGAAAAGCGGGGTATAAATGCAATAATAAATCATATTATTTGCTTTGTTTTTATTGCGCGTTTTGGGTTTCCATCTTGCATTCTTATGCTGGGAACTGCCCTGAGTTCTACGGATGAAGGGCAGTATGAAAATAAGTAATACTACTAAATAATTGGGTCAATATATGGGAAATGACTAGGCAGAGAGAGAGAGAGAGAACGCTCTGGGCCCAGCCTGGCTCCCCCCTCCCCCCCCGAGAGCGGGGCCTTGTGGGTGCTGGCCTCTGAGCCCCCCAGGGAAAGGGCCAGACTTGTCTTACTTGGTTTCGAACTCGATGAGGTTGGTGTCGACGGGGGCGTCCGTCTCAGGGGCGGCTGGAAGGGAAAGGGGAGGCGTGAGGTTTCTCTTTCCACCCCGTGAAACTTCTCCCGCCCCCCCCCCCATCAAGCGCAGCTGCCTCTGGGGTGGGAGGAGAGGGCCTGCACCCCAATTCAGAGACTTACCCAGCTGAGGCTGCAAGGTGGGCGAGGCCTGGTCGGGCGGCTTGGGGTGCATGAGGACGAAAGGTAGCTCCACGGAAACATCCCTGGGGGGCAGGAGAAGATCATGAGAAGAGTCTGCGGCTGGATCAGGCCCAAGGGGGTCCATTTGGCCCGGCAGCCTGGCCTCAAAGGGCCAAATGCCCCGTAGGACCCGGAATAGAGGTAGACTGCCTCTGGACCTGGAAGCTCCATACGGACATATGAAATGGATGAGGCTGGTCCAGTGTCGTGGCTGAACAGGTGCCATATATATATATAGGTATTCATCATTTTGCATTTTGCTTGTTGCATCTATACAACTCTTATTTTACTCTTACACAGACTTCCCAACTTATCTTCCGTTGGCATCTTCCTTCAAATCTTTGGTTTGCTACAACTCCTTGGGGAGATTTTGCAGCCTGCATCTTTGTGAACCCCAAATATTGCACGAAACTTTTCATTCTCTTCTTTTTAAAGTTGATTGGAAACACACACACACCCTTTTTTTTTACTGTTGCGACTTGTCGACTGTAACTTCTGAAAAAACCCCAGAATATCCACTTATCTGCAATGCCAAGTGCCTGTGATTTATTCTAGCCTCGGTATTTGTTTGAAAGTGGGCAAGAGCCGATGCAAAATCTAACCAAATTTAAATGCGCTTGGAGCGAACGCCCTTGTGCTTAACTCTGCTACTAGAGAGCAGGAATCTCTCTTCCAAACATATCTTTGCAACAGATGGGTTGGGATTTTGGGGGGACAACGAGAGCAGAAGAGCAACCCACCCGATGTTCATACTTACCCTCCCCGGGACACCACCAGCTTGACCTTAACCCGGTAGGAGACCAGGATGCCCAGGACCTCCTTGTTGGCACCCTCCTTCACACTGCAAGGCCAAGGAAAAAGAAATGGGGGGGTCACTCTGACCTGGAAACACCCCACGGACCCCGCAAAGAACAAGGCCTCCCCTTTTTCCCACGCTCACATTTTTTACCCCTTCACACTATGCATGCATTCCTCCTGTGCCACATAATAAACCAGCGTTCTCCAAACTTTTGGGGGTCCCTTCCGCCCCCTCAGTGCCATGAACTCACCCCCAGTGGCCCCTCCCCTCCGAAAAGCATCGTTCAGAACAGCGGTTTTTTGCAGGACCCCCTAAAGGAGATTCAGAGCAGGAGCAGCTAATGGCCAGATTGTTCAAAATCCAACTGAAACTTAACTCTGTATTTTACTTCATAAAATTTATATACTGCTTGAATGTAAGGGAAAACACCTCAGAGAGGTTTACAAAAAGGATAAAACAATAAAATTGTCGCTAAAACTGCAAAACCACACTACAAGCACCGTTTAAAACCACAGCAGAATAGACTGAAACTTGTGCAAACTCGTCTCAACAGGCGCCAAAAAGAAGACAGTGAAGGCAACTGTGCGAGAGGATATCAAGAGGCAGGGGGTTCCAAAGTGCTGGTGCTGCCACTATTTATTAGTAACAAAAATTATTAATTTTATTTATTTATTTATGCCCCACCTTTTCCCCTGAAAGGACTCAAGGCGGTCAAGTGACCTCGCAGAGAAGCTGGTCCCAAGTTGTTAGAATCACAGCCTCGTCCAATTGGCAGGGACCCCAGCGGTCATCTAGTCCAACCCCCTTTTAAGGGCTTTATAGACTAAGAGTAACACCTGGAACTTGGCCCGGGGGCAAATGGGCAGCCAGCGCAAATCTCCAAGAAGCACTGATGTCGTATGCCGACTGGGTCTCCCCTCCTGTCAGCAACTGTGCTGCAGCATCCTGCACCCAGGGCAGCCCCACAGAGAGCCCCTTGCAGTATTGAGAGCAATCAATCCAGCAATCCAGGGGGAAAGCTCTGCAATGTCTGATATTCCCCGCCCCCTTGCCTCTAAACACGCCCCCCAGGACCCTCCTGCCCCCCTCCCTCCCTCCCACCAGGGGGCTGCAGCCCCTGTTTGGTCCCTCTGCAATCCTAAGATCCTTTAGCTGCAATTGGGGTTGGACTGGATGACCCCTGGGGGTCCCCTTCCACGACAACGATGCCAAGGTGCATTTGCTGCCGGCCGGCAAGGGAGTTGAGGGGCACCGGGTGTGGAATTGCTGGGCTGGGCTGGGGGGGGGCAGCAGGACTCACATGGTGGAGGAGGCCAGGTTGGTGTCTTCGTGCTTCAGCTTCCCGTCCAGCGCCAGGCCCCGCTTCTCCCGGTTGTTGCTCAGCAGGGGCGTCAGCGTGTAGACCTTGCAGAAGGTGGAGCTGGGCGCCACTTGGTCGCTGGCGGGGGAAGCCAGAGAGAGAGAGAGAGAGCGTCAAGGTCCCTGCCGGCCCAGCATGGCCCGCCTGGCAGGGACGGCACAAGCTGCTTTCTACTGAGTCAGGCTGCTTGCCAGCCCACGTCATGCAGAATTATCTGCGCTGTCAGGCAGGACCCTCTGGGGCTCAAACCTGGGAACTGCCTCCAAGGCAGGTGCTCTAACCACTGAGCCCCCATTGCCCTTCCACAAACCCCCATTGCAAGCAGGGCTGCAAGGGGACAGTGTCAGGCCAGGGCCAAAAGAAGAAGAAGAAGAATATATTATTTATACCCCGCCCATCTGGCTGAGCCCCCCCAGCCACTCTGGGCGGCTCCCAATCGAGTGTTAAAAACAATACAGCATTCAATAATAAAAACTTCCCTAAACAAGGGCTGCCTCCAGATGTCTTTTAAAGAGAAGATAGCTGCTTATTTCCTTCACATCTGGTGGGAGGGCGTTCCACAGGGCGGGCGCCACCACCGAGAAGGCCCTCTGCCTGGTTGAGACTCCTGCATTGCA